GCAACATTTAAATTCTATTGAGCCGTCCATCCAATTCACGGTAGAACGTGAGATAAATGGACATTTAGCTTTTTTAGATTTGAATGTACACAGAACTGTCGAAGGAAAGTTAGAGACTGATGTTTATCGCAAACCCACACACACAGACAAATATTTGTCATACGACTCTCATCACCCAGTAAGCCATAAAAGATCCGCAGCAAAAACTTTGCTTCAAAGAGCTGAATCGTTGCCGTCAAACAGTGATTCTCAAGCTAATGAACGTGAATATGTTCTAAATGTTTTAGGGGAAAACAATTACCCAAAGCGTTTTCTTAATGATTGCCTGAGACCACCTGTTTGTAGGAACCAAAATACCTCCGAGGGTGATACCTCTGTTAAGGGTTTTGCAATAGTTCCATACATTCAAGGTGTCACAGAACCAATCAAGAGAATCTTAAGTAATTGTAATATTAAGGTTGCCTTAAAACCCTATTTGACCTTAGGCCGTATTTTCGCAAAGCCAAAAGATCCTGTTGAAAAAAATCAGAAGACTCATTCTATATATTCTATACCATGCGGTGACTGCGATAAAGAGTATTTGGGTCAGTCTAAACGCCAGTTTGGTACACGGCTAAAAGAACATCAAAAGACTGTTTCAACTTTAGACAAGGGAAAATCAGCTTTAGCCGAACATGTATGTTACACCAAACACGAGATTGCGTGGGAAAACTCTAAAGTAATTAACACAAACAATCGCTATGGTCAAAGACTTTGCCTAGAAGCGTGGCATATAAATATGAGTCATCATGCTTTGAATAGGGATGACGGCGCCTATTTGCCAGAAGAATATATGCATCTTCTTGGCAGGTGACGTCATCCCTTGGGTATTTAAGAAGCCACGATCGCAGTTTTAGATCACCCCTGATGAAGACACTAGAAACGTTAGGTCTTGGTTACAATTCGACTGGGCTTTGTAATAATTTATTTAAACCAGAGTAGCGAGCGAAACATGAAATATGAAAATTACTGACTTTGTTACCCAGAAAAACGAGCAAGGTCTGTTGTATGTAATTCATCGTGATGTACTCACAAAGACAAGGCGAGAAAATGACAACGGGGGATACAGTGGACACATGTATGTGATTACAGGTTCATCGGACTGTCCTGTTGCTTCATTCCTTGCCCTAAAGGACGTTTTGAACCCTACACAAGTGTGCATGTGGCAGAGACCTAAATTTCAAGCGCCATCAGAAGCACCGTGGTTCACAAATGCACCTTTGGCAGCCAGCACTCTTGGTAACAAGATGAAAAGCATCTCTGAGAAAGCTGCCTGCTCTTTGAAATGTATACAAACCACAGTTTAAGGGCCACAACTGTTACTGTTCTCAATGAAGCAGGAGTTGCAGGTCGTGATATCATGGCAGTCACAGGCATATAAGTCTGAGTCATCCCTCAAGCACTATGTTCGTACCACCAATGCCAAGAAGCAAGACATGAGTACCATCATTTCATCTCAAATGCAAGAAAATGTTCCAGTGGCTAGGGAGGAAACTGCAGAAAGTATTTTCGACGATCTAGTATTAACAGACTCACAAGAACAGTTTTTATTCATTTAAATATGTTTCAAGCGAAACCAGGATTATTCATAATAAGTTTTTAGACGTTCTCTGGTTTTTAAATATTTATTATTACAAGCTTTTGACTGCCAGTCTGCAGTCTTCAACGGGTGGATTACAATGAGAGTGTGACAATCACAACGGTTTACAATTACATATATATAGCAAATGACAGAAATATGACAGTTCCGCCTACATGCAAGATTAATGACTTAAATTACATGTAGCTAGATTCAGAGTTTTTTGCTAAGTAGGAACAATACCGCTTCCTACTTAGCAAAAAACTCTAAACTTATCTACATGTAATTTAAATCATTAATCCTGTATGTAGGCAGAACTGTCATATTTCTGCCATTTAGTATCTATATGTAATTGTAAACCGTTGTAATTGTCACACTCTCATTATAATCCATCCTTTGAAGACTGCAGACTGGCAGTCGAAAGCTCGTAATAATAAATATTTAAAAGCCAGAGAACGTCTAAAACTTATTAGTTTTTATACAGTGAATCTAATTTACATTCAAAGCTCCTTGTCATCAATCACACAAGTGACACAACACTTCCACTTCCACGTTCCAGTTGTCTTTAATAACAAGTGAGAAGCATGGCATTTTTAACATTATTTGTTAAATTACACTGTGTTTATCATGTTTTGAACGATTTGGAACATTCATTTTCTGTTATATTTGTGTGTATTTATTTTAATATTAATATTTTGTTATTATATAGACCGCGAGGAGTTCCTCGAAGAAAGGGGGGACCGCCGACAACACATCAAGAGACGAAATACGCGCACTTTTCGCTGTTGTCAAATCGGCTCAGCCTTTGCATAAACATTACTATATCCAATTAAATCTGTCCAATAGGAAACCGTTAATGTCATGTTTACTTAAAGGGTGTATAAAAAAGGTAATCGAGCTTCAGCGCGCTATTGTACGGTGCTGCTCAGAAATAGCCTAACACTGCAATACCCTGCCGTCCCGTTCCGAACGGGTTCCAAACACGTCTGGAACGCAATCGGAACGCGGTTGAAACGGTTTCCAGAGGGAAGCTTGAAAACGCGTTCCCCACTTTGGCTAAAAACCGCGTTCCCGCATCGGAAAATCCCGACACCGAATGAAATATGAGCTACTGTATTTTTTGACAGTTGACAACTATGAACAATTAATATCAAGCTTCGTCCCGGGCTGAAATACCATCCCGGTTTGATCCAGACTGAAACTCGACACTGTCCGGGCTTAATAACAAATAATTTTAAAAAATCGTCATAACGGCTTTGTTCAGCGTGTTTGTTTCCACTGTAGATGTAACCATAAACACACAAATCAAATAGCCGAATCAAATAAACATCATCATAAGTTGGTACGATTGTTACCACACGATGCGTTCCAGTAGCAGTGGAACGCAAATGGAACGCAAATGAAACTCATTTGGGAACGCGTTCGGGACGCGTTTTCTGTTAGGTTATTTTTAAGCAGTACTGTACCTGAATTATTCGGCGTATGAACATTTGTTTTCACAATCGAAAAGATGAGGGTTTTAGCTGTTGAATGACATGTTTTTCATGCCAAATGGAGAAAATATAAGCGAGTCCGATAAAAAATGTTAGTCAGAATTGCATATTACAACGGTAAAAATATGCGATTCTGACTAGCATTTTTTATCAGACTCGTACTTGCTTATTTTTTATCCATTTGGCATGAGGAACATATCATTCAACAGCTAAAAGCCTGATCTTTCCGAAGATAAAAAATCTCGTCAGTTCATACGCAGTAATTCAGACACAATAGCGCGCTGACGTTCGATTACTTTTATCAACATTCACTCTGGAAATTATTTGTAGCATAATTACTACATAACAGATTTGATTGACAGGCGTATCGATTTCGACCAATGGGAATTTTGCGTTGTGTGGTCAACGCTGTTTCATCTCTTGATGTGTTGTCTGCAGTCCCTTTCCTTTCTCGTGCCCGGAAATCTAAACCCGCGGAAAGGAGGGACCGCTCGCAGTCTAGGTATTATTTAAAACAATTCGCCTCTCTGAATGGAACATTCCATCTTTCATCTCTTGAAAATATTCTTACCATTGCACAAATAAAAACATTCATTATTTGTATAATGGACAATGAAGCTTTGCCTTATCCTAGTGATCATGTAAAAGCACGTGATTTATTTGAGTATTTAATAGGTGTTGGTGACCCTTTGCAGTAATCACAGTAGATACATTAAAATGCTGAATGAAGGATAATTTAATTAACATTACATTCCCCATATAATAACTGCCTTTCGTAAATGTTGAAATGCATGGTTAGTGGAAATTGCGCCTGACTACTAGCACAACCTGGTGTCACTTATAACACTGTAAAGCCAAAAAAAGTAATACCTTATTTCTTGTTTTAAAAATTTTGGTGCATGGGGGTTATACTACACAGTATAATTAAGCTAATTAAGGCTTGTTGCATGAATTACTGAAATTATGATAATACAGACCTACAATGATTCACGCGGATAGGATGTGTTTTATTATAAAAATTTAGGTTCAACTGATTAAGAAAAGATGATTATATCTTCTTTACCTGTGTCTCCGCTAAGTCGGTCTTTATAATATAAACATGCAATATTAAGCATAAATTTGTTACGAGGCTTTATTTATAAGTAGTGAATCGTTTACAACTTTTGTAATTATTGTTACTAATGTTAATAGTTCTGCTTCAAAGTCTCTTCTTGATAGTCCACTGGAGAGTCCACTCGATAGTTCACTGGAGAGTCCACCAGCAAGTCTATGTTCACTCACTTCAATGTCCACTGACAAATTTGGGTTGTGCACGCCCTTTTATACTAACGGTTGAGGGATCTTGCACACGTGATGTAGCAAGTGGTGTGATTTGTATCCAGCCAATCAACGTTGAGGTTTAAAAGTGTGGGTTGGCGTTGCTAGCTCGTTCTAGCTCTCACATTCTGTTTATTTAAGGTGTTGTCGCACTGGTCGAGTTGGTTCGCTGTTCAATCGATCAATGTTAAAATATGTTCACAACTTAAAATACTTATTGAAATATCATGGTAAAACTTCAACCTATACCTATGTAAACCTTACCTTACCTACTAAACTAAATTCACTTACAACTTTATTGAATCAAGATTTTTATGACGTAATGTTATCATTACTCAACCGCGCGAAATATACCGAAGAATGATTGACAGAAAGGCCCTAAGCATGCACATTTTCATGTCAAAGAAGAACCAACCTTGGACTTTGAATTATGTAAACACAACAGCCCACCATGCAAGGTTATCGTCCAACTTTGACAAATTGACAAATTATTTATCTTTGCCTAATGGACAGATAATTGACACTTTTACACAAGTCCAAAATGATATATACTTTATCTGAGTTAGTGAGTTTTACAGCAAAAATGCTCATTATCTCCCATTCGACGTAACTAGTATCTATAATTACCTGGGGTGCAAATTGAACTATTTTTATACTATTTAGATATACTTTCGTAACAATCCTTCCCGTCTGGATTAAGCTGCCCTCAGCTTTTGAGATATATAAAAAATAAATGACTATATATTGTTAATATTAGATATACTTTCGTAACAAATTTGCACTAGCTTTGACGTTTGCACACTGGCTTGATGGGGACAATTAACAGCTAACCCCAAAAGCGACTGCGTGCATGACTTTGCTGTGATATATAGCACTGATTCGAATGCTTCACTTGCCCCAAGCGTCGAGATCATAACATCTGTTGTGTCAGTGTCTTTACCCCGGCAAAGAAATGGCAATGCGATACTTGGCGTCCTTCGACGTCTCGCAAGTATTCAGGTTTGACCAGTCTAACCTCTGGTGGAAAACACTTGAATGTTTTGCTAAGAAGCGACTATTAGTATGCGCACTAATTTTTCTTATCATCTAAGTTGTGCGCAAACACTCGCTTGAACATCATCGATTGATGCGCTTCGAATGCTGTGTTGGCGTGCAATATTTGAATTTGGCGGGCGATTTTTGTTTTTATATGACAATGCCATGTGTAACATGAAGTCGGGCCTAACTCTTGACGAAGGGTCTTCGCTCGAAACGTCGAGTTTCTGCTTCTTTTTTAATTAAGGTAGTAATATAACCACTCAGGACAGCATTTTCACATTGGTACTACCCACTCTGGTACAGACAGTTTTAGTATAATATGAAGTCGAGATATTAAAGAAACTATTTCAATAGTTAATATTAAAAGAAGCTTTGTTTCAAGGCTACTATTACAAATAAGTACCAAGGTTCGATAATTAATTCATGTCATCAATTTATCAACTTTGACACAACACTATGGTATCGTGCGGTTTCTCATGAAATATGGGCAAACTATTCAGGATTTGACGGGTCGCGGTCAGAATTAGCGCTTTTACGACGAGAATTTTCGTTTTTAAGACAAGCTCAACGTACTTTTTTTCAGTGGGGCTTGATTTACGGGAAACTGTGTTTAAATGCCCGGGTAATTACCGTGTCAGCCAGTGTGGTAATAATTTTCGTGGCTTTAACGGAAGATCACCCGCCAATACCGACCGTACCGCCAAGTCAGGTACTACCGACGCCAGTAAAAATTCAGCCTCTAATTGAACTTTTGCCAGGTTACAACGAGCAATCGATTATAAATACTTTAATTTCTGGTTTTTCGTTTGAGTTTCTCTGCTCTATCAGGGCGAAATCAAATCTATAGAGTTAAAAAGTTTAACTTCTGCTTTACAATATCCAAAAATTGTTGATGAAACTATAGGCAACAAATTGGCTGCCAACAGGTTTAATTCCTATTGTGTTTCGCCTCTTGGTCCAGATCCCTAAAAAAACACCCGATGAATTTAGTTTAATCCATCATTTATCCTTCTCTAAAGATGTATCGGTTAATGATGGGATACTTTCAGAAAATAAAAGCGTACATTATGCTACTGTTTCTGATGCAATACGTCGCTGGGCCGGGTTGTTTCTTAGCAAAAACCGACATCAAAAACGCTTTTCGTATCATGCCAATACATTCTGAAGACTATCATCTTTTAGGAATGAAATGGCGGGGGTTATATTGTTTTGTCTGCATGCCAATGGGATGCTCCAGTTCATGCAAGACTTTTGAAATATTTAGTACAGCCGTTGAATGGATTGCTCAACATAAATTCAAAATTCCTGCCACTCATATCCAATGGGGGAGCAATTTGGATAAATTTCTAAATTTATGCGCCACACTCGGTATTCCTATTGCACCAGAGAAAACTTGCCGTCCTGCAACAACTCTTACATTTGCTGGTATTGAGTTAGACTCTATAAAATCGCAGGCGCGCTTGCCAACAGACAAACTTGCAAAATGTGTCGACACCATCGCGTCTTTTCTTAACCGCAAAAAGGTTACCTTAAAAGACATTCAATCTTTGATCGGCTTGTTATATTTTGCTTGTTCCGTAATTGTGCCAGGTCGCCTATTTTTACGGCGTCTCATTGACCTTACACACGGCATTCAGAACCCGCGACATTTCATTCGTTTGCGTCAGGCGGTCAAAGAGGATTTGAAAATTTGGGAAACATTCTTATCTTTTTTCAATGGCATTTCATTTTTCCTGGACGAAACTTGGTGCAATTCCAAAAAGCTTAATTTGGTTACAGAGGCTTCGGGCCATATTTGGCACCGAATGCTGTTATGGCAAATGGCCGGCACACTGGTTACACCGTAATATCGCATTTTATAAGTTCTATCCAATTGTCTTGAGCCTGTGCTTATAGGGGCACAAAATGCGCAATCAGTCCATTTAACTATCTACTGACAATGAAGCTCTGGTTCATGTCATCAACAAAAAATCGTGCCGGGATAAGCTATTAATGTGTTTTGTTCGTCAAATGGTTTTGGTTTTTTTACAAAACAACTTAATGTTAAGGCTAAGCATATTCCTGGTATTTATAACAAACTAGCAGATTATTGTTTATCTCGATTTCAGGTGACTGCCTTCCAACAATTAGCACCGGCCAGCATGAACAGTCTTCCCACAGGCATCCCTGTTCATCTACAGCTTCAAAACTGGCGGATATAGTCACCCATTTCACTAAATCAAGTTTACAGCAATCACCTATTCCTACTTATACTAGGGCATGGAAACCATTTGCTCAATTCCACACTGCGATTTTCCAGACAGCTCGTTTTAGCATGCCTATTTACCCCGCAACATTGGCGCTTTTTATAGCGTATTTATTTGACCGCAATTACAAATATGCATCCTCTACAGTCAACACCTACGTCTCTGCCATTTGTTATTCTCACAAATTGTACAGTTTACAGGATCTAACTCGAGTTTTCTACATCATTCAAATGTTAAAAGGCTATGCAAAAAATGGCATACGGTTAGGCAGTCGCTTGTCGGTGTCGTTGCCAATACTCCTGGTATTATCAGGTTTGTCAATTCAAAGCAATGTGCTCTTTGGCATTCTTCGCCTTTTTAAGGATTGGCGAAATTACTAAGCAAACTAACAAAGTTGTCAACCTTTGAAAATGGATCAAATTTCATATGTTTACGACTCGAGCACAATTATAACCAACGGCCTTTTACATTACTGGTTTATCGTCAAACGTCGTGCTGTCCTGTCGCACCACTGCTTGCACTCTAAAAAAAGGTGTGTTAATTTAACACACCTTTTTGTCCAAATTTTAACACACCTTAAGGTGGGTTTTAGAACACACCTTAAGGTGTGTTTAACACAGCTTTTGGCGTGTTTTGTAACACACCTTAAGGTGTGTTTAACACACACCTTAAGGTGTGTTAAACACACCTTAAGGTGTGTTCTAAAACCCACCTTAAGGTGTGTTTTCGGCTTGTCCAGATTTTAACACACCTTAAGGTGTGTTTTGTATAAAGGTGTGTTTTTGAACACACCATGGCGTGTTTTCGTACACACCATGGCGTGTTTTCATACACACCATGGCGTGTTTTCATACACACCATGGCGTGTTTTAAAACACACCTAAAGCTGTGCTGTATAACACACCATTGAGGTCTGTAATGTTTACAGCACGTTGTAAGGTGTGTTTCATAACACACTAAGGTGTGTTACATAACACACCTACAAAAGATGCTATATAACACAGCAAGGTGTATTAGAAAACACATCTACATATTCTTATTAAAAGTAAAATGACATTAGAGGCATGCTCATTTGCACAGAGTTTATCCATGACAAAATATTTATTTGACACTGACTAAATTACATTTTACATAGCTGACTATGTACTTTTACTATGTACTTTTACTAAACCGAACTGTAACAGACAACTTCTCATTCTGATGCAGTGTTCTGGCAATTAGAGTAATGGAGTATACTATATTAATTGTCTCGTACTTTATAGCCATGCAATTGTCAAAATATTGCAACCCCACATCTTCCACAATCAGAATACCTGTCATATGAAACACTGTAAATAACTTGCATCCAATCATTCCATCTTTGTATCATTTTCTTTATCGCTCGGTGAACCACAACCTTTGAATCACATAGCCAAGTTTAACCATATTTACAGGTAGTCGTATCGATCCAACATACAAGCCTGTGTCAAGATAAGTAAAAAATTAATATACAATGGGACAATCTAACAGCTTAAGTGTATATATAACATATGTAATTAAGACATTTAACCCACTAGCACGCAGGACTCTCTTCTTGATGACTAAAATTGTCTGGCGTTTAACAGAGTAAAATAACAAAGGTGGGTCGGGTCCATTTGGGTGCATTTCGGCTCAATGGGTTATCAAGGCACATTGGCAGATAGTTTGGATAACCATTAGTGAGCAGGACACTGCTCTTGAGGAGTAAAATTGTCTGGCATTTTACAAAGTAAAATGCCTGGTGTTAGATAGTGCAACATAACAAAGTAGGGTGCACTTGGGCACATTGCTGCTCCAAGGGTTAACAATAAAAGGGTGCATATATTAGCTAAGTATATTGAATATCAATATACAGTCATTTAACAAGTTAATTTGTTTGGCATTTCAAGACATACAGTAGCATGCAATGGACTGATACTGTATCTGGCCGGATATTAAGATTTTAATTCATTATCTGGTATCCGGCTGCCCAATGCCGGATATTATTTATATAGGGTTCAGGCCTTCTTTTCAGGTTAGAAAATGATTTGATAAGGTTATCATATCATGATCATTGAAGCAAAAATATGATAAATATGATCAGTATTTTCAAGATTTTTTATGCTTGTTTGTACAGTAAATGGGGATTTGAACTTTTAACTGATGTAAACGAGGCTTTTGCTACCAATGATGCATGTTTACTAGTTTTAGACTGTTTACTTTTTAACCAAATAAAATTATTACCGGTACTTAACCTTAAATGATGCCTGAACCTTATATAATTATTTGAATAATACCCTGAATCACGCTGGATATTTTTCAGCTATCCAGCATATCCTGTATCTGGCTGGATAGCAGAAATACTCTGTCCTGCACACCCCAAGAAAGAACCGAAAGTAGGCAACATTTAAGAGGAAATTGTTTCTTCGGTGTTAATAGGTGAAATGAGGGCAAGCAGTCCACAGTCGATGAGTAAAATTGTCTAGCATGAGACGTCACAGTTCAATATTAAAGTA